CATAATAGCAAGATGTCTGCATCCCCCATGAAAGTAAACTATTAATCATTCATGTATGGGAGTGGGGGGTGGGGGGCAATTTCAGGCAAAAATATAGGCCTGCAGATTCCACTCGAGGCCCTCACTAAGTGTCAGAATGATGGCCTGTGTTTTGCCTGAAAGCAAAGGAATAAATAATTAATGGTACCAGTGACAAGGCCAAGAACACCACTCCCTGCTTATTCACGCTTTCATAAAACCACCATCAAACCTTCTACTGGGAACAAGTCCACTCTAATGCTACCTTATCTGCCATTACACACCAATTTATTGATTCCACTGATGTTCTTATTCTTCTTGTCCTAAAGTACACCAATGAGGTGAACGGATAAGGACCTCTAAGGACAAAGATGGAGGCGGTCTGTACGGTTAAGTGACAACTGATCACCATTTGGAATTTGAGCAGTTGAGGAAATATAAACCGACATTGTGCAGAGTTGGTGCAATATTTGTTGTGCATCACTGGGACATCAATTATCTGAGTGTTTAAGCACATAGCAGACCATACAAAAGTGTGATCAGTGTTAGAAATTAGCAAGGGCCACGGGCCATTTGGCCCGCAATTTATCCAAGAATGCCCCCAAAAGCCATGTCCCGGGGGCCAAAATTGCCCCCAAGTTTTCGAAACAACTATATGTATTTATATTTTTAACAGTATTACAATCTGACATTAAAGTATAATTTTATTTTCATTAAATTAATTTACCGTCACGTCTACAACTCATTTTCCAGACATAATCAACAAGATTGCACTGATTACGTGAGAGTAATCTGACAGAGAAGGGGAGGGGGCTTTGCTGTAGTATAAATTAACCATTTCTTGAGTGATCTGTGTCTACACAATGACAAATTAATGAAAAATTAAGGTAGAATGAATGTTACATTTTAAATTAACTTACTTCCAGGATTGCATCTAAGGAATTTATAGTAATTTGGCCTTTTTAACAGTAAAAGTAACTGTAGTGGTGAAACATTAGTACTGCTATCAGTAGATTAATGGTTAAATCATCACATTTAAACTGGTTGAATTATAGGAAATCTGAGTGACATTTTGCAACCATAACTTTGTTACCCATTATTTATTTCATTTATAGTGGTTTCTACTGAAGAGTGAAGACACTATATTAGTTGGTTTTGCTTTCCATGTGCTTATTGTTAGAACATAATTACAATTTTTGATGGCCCCCAAACATTTTGAAAATGCCCCCATTTTTTTAGACCGTGGGGGCCAAAATATTTTGTTAATTTCATACCCTGAGTGTGATCAGAACCTACAATGAGGGCACACGGTTTCCATATAACAGGACTGCCAAGGTAAAAGGTGGTGTTTCCCTGGAATCCATTTCAACTCTGGAGTTGATAATTCCAACTCAGTACTCCCGACTTCTGATCTAAATGCATCTGCTCAGGAAAACATGGACACCCGCAGCAAACTGATGTTTGTACGGCAAGTTTCTGAGCTTCACAAGCATCTACAGAGGACCTACATCGATTACCACAGCACCATTAGCAAAGAGAAACAGTGTATAAAACAAGTCAACTGTCTCGCTCATCTTTGCATTTAAATAAGAAACAGCTGAAACTGTGTTAACAGCTGCTGAATGCAACCAACAGCACAAAGCAGCAGCACCTATTTTCAATGTTACAGCACATTCCACAACACAAACACTACATTAAAAAGCTACATAAAGTAAAAAAAAAAAAAAAAAGATACAGGTAATTGTGCTGGTTCACTGTGTGTCACCACATTACTGTGTCAGATGTGTTTAGATGAATCTTGCCATAGTTTCTGACTTGAATGACTGTTGCATTGCAATTTTCCATGTCTGGGGTTATTTTTTTCTGAGTTCCAAGTACAATGGAAAACAGCATTTTGCTTTGCAGTGGCATTGTCAGCCTGTAGTCTTCCAACATGCGTATAAAGAAAACAAAAGGTGCAGGTGAATAAAATAATGAGAAACTAACCAAATGAGTAAAATCATTGCCAGGCTCTACAGTCAGTCAGAGCGCTGTCTATCACAGACTCAGCCTCTGTTGCTTATTCAGCCATTAATGTATCAACTGCATCAGGGAAGCCAAAAATGATGGGCAATGGTCAGCCACAGACCCTCAACTACAACCCAACGGAATCTTAAGGCCGACTGTAAACTCAGTGTGTCAAGGCATGTTATGCTCTCCAATAACGCTGGTGTGCTTCCAAGAGTTTTCAGTATTTCATCCAATTTTGTCCTTCGGTTTTGTGAACATTGACAGGCTGAGCAGGAGCAGCGACTTTAAATGTATTATTTGATGTGTTTTATAACCAAATTAAGAGACAGCATTAGTCAAACAAGTAATTCATCATTAATGTGTCTAATTATCTGTTAAGAAAAGGTTAAGCAAACCTAATTGAGCATGTCCCACTGCAATTTCTTGCTTACTCCATTCAAAATCAATTAAGCATTTTAACATTAAGTACTATCAGCAATTATAATTCAATCCAAAACTCCCCACATTTCTCATAATTGTACAGTGTGGGGTGTGTGGGTACTGCCGAAGGAATTATACACTAATAATATTCCAAGGCACATTAATTATTCTACCTCTATTCACCTTGTATTGAGTGCAACTGCTCTGTTGCTACCCTGTTTGAGTACCTCTGAAACTTGGCTTCAAGAAAAACTAATGTTGCCAAGGTTTCTATAGCAACACTCCCTTTCTTGGCCAGTGTACTGTATTTTTATTCTCAATGGTTCCAGATCCTACTTTTGGATGCTTACCAATTCAATAGTAACCATGACCTGTGCGACTTGAGTGTGTTTATAGACAAACACAAGAGAAGTGCAACTCGGGTCTACCAGTTACAGCGCGCAGAGAAATCTGGGCAGCGTTGTTTACAGCTGTCTTGTGGGTATTTAAAGATGCAGTTGGTAACTTTTATAAAGATAGATCTTTGTCATAATTTGTGAGACAGTCACAACATCCACACAGGAGCACATGAGACAAATAGTCTGTAAGAAAAAGAAAAAAATCAGGTTTCACCTCTTCCTCCTCCTCCTTCTCCCCCTAATGGCTTTTGCAAGACTCAACAATGGCTCAAAACAACCAGTCAGAACTTAAGACACTCTAAACACAACTGTCAATCATGTCAATCGCTGCTTGTGAACTGTGGTCAGACTGTCAAACCAGACAGTGCAGATCATCTATAATAATAAATATATTCACTTCAAATGTTTTCAGAAACATATTTTAGTGAACTGTTTAGCAGGGTCCGAAATTAACATCCGCCAAGCACCAAATGCAAGTGGCAAGTAAATCTCCAAGGGTTACCCACCACACTGGTGGGTAAATGTTTGGACCAAAATAGTCTCTATCACATTTTAGTGTCATTTAGGGGCACACTGCTCCGCTACTGTCAGTGTCGGAGTTTCACATACACACATACACTACAAAAGTGTTTATGTGTGTTTTAACAGTGCCACAAGCTGACCGTCTCAAGCGCTGTAAGTTTTGCAGCACTGTTTGCAGCGGGATATCAGCTGATATGCTAAAATATCACTTGCCGCCGTTCTGCTGCTAGCTGCTGTTAGGCTAATGGGTAGCTGAGGGTTATGAGTTGCTCCCATACTTATGATGGTAATAAAATAATAACATGGAGGCTCTGTAGTCTGAACCAGGACTGCAAACTATTGCCTCCCACATCGTCAATGACAGCGCATTAGGGCTTCATTTCTTCTGTACTTACCTTTCATAATGAAAGCCCTAGACATATACATTGCATCACTGCTTACCAGATGGAATGTATTCACATACTGAGGCTGTTCCGATGATTTTTTTTTTTTTTTTTTTTTTTTAAATTTTGCTCTGACCACATCTTTAAGTTTGTATTCAACATAATACCTTATTGTCTCGGTGAAATGTACTTAAACATTTGTATATGTGACACAAAAAGGCAACTTATTTTTTTGGCCAGTAAAAAAAAATATGGCGACGGGGTCACATACTTCCTCGTTTTACAGCTTAAAAGTACTCTTAATTATGTTTCTGAAAACATTTGAGGCAAGAAAAAGGTGATACAGTAACAGTCTGCATTCATGTGTGATCAGTGCTGTGTTTGACAGTTTGACTGCAGTTCATGAAGTGACTGACATGATTAACAGCTGCATTAGAGACTGATTGGTTGTTACTGAACACATGTGGTAAAGCCATTAAAAATGCTACGAGGCAATAGAGTAGGCAGAGCAATGTGGTTTTTTTCACAGATTATCTTTCTCATTTACCACTGTGTGGATGTAGTGACAGTATCAGCAATTGTGACAAAACATTTCTATAGAAGACACCAACTACAGCTTAAAACCACAAACAACAAAATTTAAAAAGATTCATTGATTCCAACCATTTATCGTAAAGTCAGAAACTTAAACAGGTTTCCCTAGTATTGATTACAGGCTTACTTCATGAGTCAGTGCAAGAGCGCACGTAGTGACTCAAGTAGACTAAGCATGAGTCAGGCACATCATAAACAGGAAAAGGGAAGAATCATGCCAGTCCATTCAGGTTTAACTTCCAGCTGGCTAGGATGAGCAAGCCAAACTCTACCCGGAATCAGGAGACATTTCTACAACTGCCACACACACAACCCCCTTCTTTCTCTGAACTCCCCCTTCCCCCACACCCCCCTCTCTCCCCAGGAGGTAGGTTCGTTGCTTCTGACTGAAATCTGGATAACAATACTATTCTCAATACAGCAAACATAAACTGGACTGTTGTTCTGGGCCATATAAAACTTGAGATCGCATACTGCTAACCACATGATAGTCCCAAGAACTATCATACAAGCCTGTCTTTGATTTAACCCTTTTCTCAGTTTTTAAACAATATATTACAATTGTTAATATTTTGTATGTTCGTAAAAAAATTCAGTGACTCTGGTAAATGTCTGAAAACTTTGTAGGAGAGTCTACCTCACCAGATAACATTACCTTTTCACAGAGACTGAATGTGCAATTTTTTCCAGAAGGGCGTCCAGTTTTTGGAAATCCAGCAAATCGTTTGACTTGGCATGCATCTTGTAATCCATTTATGAATTCCACTAAACAGAAACAGAAACCAAAAACCGAAAAAGGGCAAGACGAATTACACAGAAGTTTGTTTTCTCTTTTTCTCTCATCCAAAACACAGAAGAAATTTGTTCTTCAGGCACCAGTATGTAATCCAACAGAACACGGTGAGTAATCCTTAGTGTCTTCCAAGCGGAGTTTGAGGGTGGCTGCTCCACAAAAAAGGCCCCAGCCTGGAAACAGTGGGTCCAGCCGGGGAAGGAAAGGCTGTGGAAGCCTACAGCCGGCAGGCTGTTAGCTGTGTGAACCGGTCCTCTCTCTACCCCATCCCCCTCTCAGCAGTACAACGGCCCAGTTGCCACAGGCTCTTCGCTCCATTGTGTCCTCTCCAGGGCCTCCCCAACTTAAACTGACACAAGCCGAAAGCACGACGGAGAGGGGAAGGCGAGAGAGGGGAGAGAGGGCTCCGATAAGATCCAGGAGGAGCACTTATTTCCTTTGGCTCGCTCTCTCACCCTCTCTCTAGCACAGGCAGACCAGCATGCAGTTACTCAACAGTAAAAATGGCTCTGCTGCTTCCTCATTCAGCGGAGCCTCAGCCCACACACCCCTCCCTCCCGCCCGCTCCTACACGCTTGCTCATTCCACCCCTCCCCTCTTTCCCCATCAATAGCTTGAGGTCCTTGCTCTCTCCTCTCTCTCTTACACCTTTAACACCCCACCCCCTTCCTGTCTTTTTCTCTGTCCATTTCATCATGCCCCACCCCCACTCACTCTCTTCCCTCAGAGTGATCTTGTATATGCCTCCCCCACCAATTTAAGGACTCCCTTATCTGCACTCTGTCCTGTCCTCATACACCTCATATTGTGGCAGGGCTACTTCAATCAAAAATACAACAGTCTTTTGATAAACTGTTGAGGAGACTGTTGTGGCTGACATTGAGCCACATCAGTAATACAAACTCTGCAGTCCCAAAAACACTCTAAATCACATTTAATTCAAGCAGCGAGGCTTTGATCAGTATTAAAAAAATGACCACTTGTCCAACAAACAAATTCAATTTGGTCCAATTTCCGTGAAATTAAAAAAATAAAAAGACAAGTGCATTTGTGTGGCCATTTGACCCCTAAGGCCCCTTAAGTCTCTGTTAATAGAGACCAGAAGTCATCACTAATAGTGAGAACCAGAGTGACAGCTCACTCATATGAACAGGTCCACCACAGGTTAGATGCTGATTGGCAGGTCCGCATTATTTACGCTTGGTGTATGAAATATCTGTAACCTCACCATGCATTTTATTAACACATTTGGTCTTGGATCCCATCGCTCCCTGTGTTCAGGTGCTTTTTCACTCCCAGCAGTTCTTGTACCTATATAACTCAAGTTAAGGCCCTGTTACACCAAGCTGAAGGTTGGCCGTTGGTCACTGTTAGTGAGCATGTGTGTCCTGTATTGTTGGCCCTAATTGGCTCTTGTTGGCATCGTAGATGGCAGAGCCTGGCAGTGAGTGAAATTACACTGACTGGCAGTTCAGTTCAGTGCACAAGAAAAGAAACGGAAGTGAGGAAAGTAAACAAACCACCGTGTAGATTTATTTACACTCACGCAGTTGCAGGACGTACATACTATTTGGCCATTATCTGTAGTCTTTGCGGTGTGTTCGGGTGCAACTTTTTTTTTTTTTTTTCTGTATGTTTGTTTTATTCAGTCATCATCATCACATACAACATAGGAACATACACAGATTTTCACAACAACAACAACAATAATAATCATAAATATAAACATTCTAGGTAACACACAAAAAATGTTAATTAATATATGATGGTAATGACTGAAAAGGTATAGGCTGAAGCATAATGCTTATATTTGCCTACCCTACATAAATCCTAAATTAAGCTACCCATCAAACATCATTTATATGAAAAAAAAAAAAAAATCACCTGTCACTTTCATATCACCTGTGTTTTGGGAGAAACACAGATGATATGAAATGATGTAACGGACAGATATTGACACCCCTAGTTCTATGATGTCGGTTTGGTGTATCTGGGCCTTTACATCCAGTAAATACTATAACTGACGGCAGAATTTACCAGTGAAAACAATGGATGTTTTTGCAACCACAGCATAAAGGATTGTGCTGTTTATCACAAACGCAGTTGTACCTGCTGTCTTACATTCAACACGTAGCTCACTCACCAGAGCAGCTCCAGTCTGTGTTCATCTTTCCCGTCTGTGACAGCCATCAGTGTTGATAGGCAATTATTCATGACATGTAACAACTCAGCTGTGGACAGGACATTGAGCGGAGCTGCTGTGGCCAAAGTAGCACATTTTTCAATTAGTTAATTTTTTCAGCTATTGAGGGTATGACCAAATCATGTGCTGGCACAAACAACTGAGGGAGAAGGTAGCATCAGTGCTACTAGTGGAGAAGTTAGTCTGGAGCTCTGCCACATGGAAATATTAAACTGCCTGTAGATTAAACTAATAGTATTTGCACAATCCCACAATAAACGTGCATGAAAGCAGACGCTGCACATTGAGCACCTCAAGACTGCAGGTAAACTCACATCATTAACCTGAATTCAGGACACAACATAGGGCAGCATTAACAGTCAAGCTGGGGCCGTAAAGGAAAACTGAAGTGAGCGGGTTAGAGTGTGACAGAAAGAGTGCAAACGCATGGGACCACCCACCGTGCCTTCCTGTGGCAGAGCAGCCTTAGGCCCCGTTTAGACGACAACGATTTCAACTGAAAACGGTAAACTTTAGTTGTGTTTTGGCCGATCGTTTACACGACAGCGGCGTTTTGGGTGCCTGAAAACGCAACGATTTGAAAACAGGTTCCAGAGTGCAACGTTTTGGAAACGGCAGTGTCTCCGTTGTCATGTAAACGTGTAATATGCAGTTCCTCTGAAAACGGAGACTTTTCGCACATGCGCATTACGGTTCCAGTCACTAGGCATGCCGACCGTCACAACAACAATGCTGAGCTCTGTTTGCGTTGCTCACCCTGTTGATTTGAAGTGAAGTGTAGATCTGTTACTGTAGCAACTCCACCTTGTCGTCCATCCAGACAAAGTTATCTGTGCATGCTTTCACCAGTGTGTCTTCTTTGTTTTGGTTTGTAATCACAACATTGAAGAGAAAGGAACTTAAGCGCAGGCGCATGGCGTCATGCCGTGGTGTTGCTTTGCAAATTTACACTGCCACCCATTGGCCTGGCGTGCATACTACAGCGTTTCCAGTAGATTTTGCGGCTCCGTGTGAACAGGGATTGCTTCAATAACGTCGTCATATAAAACGCATTAGTTTTTTAAAAATGCAAATGACAGACTTTTCCGTTTTTACTGAAATCATTGTCGTATAAACGGCCCCTTAAGTTATGACGTTCATGACAGCGTGGTGACCACACTGTGATGTGACTATGAAACCACTTGGCTCAGTGAGATCTTATCAAAAGATAGGACTAAAAATTAAGTTCTTAGTAAGCCAAGTAAATACCAAGTAACAATTTTTATACCACAATTACCAAAATACAGAAGTGCTAGTAAATGCAACCTTATAATAAATGCCTGTAAACGGGATGAAAAGCAGCAGGGATCTCTCTGTGCAATGACTGTAGAATCAGGGATAAGAATAGCTGCAGGGCAAGAATCACAATTGAAGATGCAATCTCAAGAGACAGATGTGACATATAGAGACTCTGTTTACTCTGCACCAATCATCCAACCTGCCTGACAATGCTGCCTCTTAACCCTGCTGTAGTAACACCAGACTTTTAACCTCCTGTTCACTACCCACCAAGACAGAACATGAGCAAATCCTAGGGCAAGTGAGAGGCAACAGTTTGATGGTGAGGGGATATCCCTGACGTTTCACATCTTTATGTAACTACCTAAGCCATAAAATATTGCCTTATATGTACCTTATATGTACAATACCAGACGCAAATTGACTGCTGACCTCTCACCTCACAATCAATCTTGAGTCTCATCTGCATGCAAACAGGCACACACCCAGTTTCAAAATCAGTCAATTGTCAAAAACCCCAAGAGACCAGGCGGGTAATGAGCCACTCTGTGCAATATATATAGACACTCAGGTGACTGGTGAGTGCAATGCAATGCACAATGTCAGTTTTCCCAAATGAAACAAGCAGTGGCTCATCTGTGCTGCAACCAGAAACTGACGGTGTCCTCGCAGACCCACTTCCCTGTCCACATGCCATATGCACCATTCTCAAAGACAATTCAGCAGCTGCCAGAGTGACAAAGCTCCAACCTACAGCAATTCAGAGGAGGCCAAACCGATGGCCCTGTCACTGGAGGAGTGTGGAGGGAGATTGTATTCAGACACACGGAAGGAGGAAGGGAGGGATGATAGCGAGAGGAAGGGGGAAAGGGGAAGGAGAGGGTTGCCTTTAGACTGGGGGTTGGGTCAGACGGAGAAGCAGCAGTGCACGCAGAGATGAGACTCTGCGAGAAAGTCTGAGGCACTTCCATTAATCATCAGAGCACCGGAGAAGCTGAAATCTACAGGGACCAGGAGTGGAGAAACAGGGAACAGGCAATTTGCCAACTTGCCATGGTGTTGCATGGACTTGTATTCAGTTATGCATTGAGAAAAACAATAGGAAAAAGACGGGTGGTGAAAGAGGTACTTGGTAGTAATAACAACTAAAGCCTTTTAGTCATTAGAGAATTAACTGAATCTAACAGATAATGCCTCTGCACTTATAAAATCTTGCTTTTTACACCCACAAAACCTGTAATTATTAAACAATCTGGCAATCTCTTTATGCCAGCAAAACAGAAAACAGAAAACAGATATATATATTGTCTAGACTGACGCTACAGTCTAGATCTTGGATGAGGGAATATGTTATGCCAATTTAAGAGGCACTCCAGTGATTTTACGCATGAAATACAGTTTGCACATTTTGTGGAGTACTACTCAGCCTGTGAAATCAGCTGTATCATATCTGGGGGAGCTGTCTAAGTTTGAAAAAACAACCCTGATGATATCATCACAATCGTCAGACTTAATCTTTTTAAACAGAAAGCCTGTGTTTGAATGGAAGTGGCCATTTAGGAGGTAGAGGAGTCTAATGAAAGAAAGCTTGACCCGCAGCAGATACTAAAAGTCGTGATATCTGTTCCTCTGCTGCTTTAATTTTGCCCATTAATTTTTAAAGAGCTTCTTATGAGTCCTCCAGCTTTATGGAAATGCAACACTGTACTAGTTCACTGGAGCACCCATTTAGACCTCTCTACACTTAGTAACCTCTGCATTTTAGAAGTGATTAAGAATTTTAGTTTCAAAGCACATCTGGGGCTTCTCCCTGCATAGTTACCTTTTAAACTTTTTTCTGTCCACCATGTAGACAAAGACCTCTGACAAAGCTGCTCAACTTTTTAGTGACGTTGTTCTGTGCCCAAGTATCACCTATGTGATGAGTTTAAGCTGTTGCTACAGTATACAAACAAACATACATACATACAGTACAGGCCAAAAGTTTGGACACACCTTCT